CGCCCGCCCCGCACGCTGCGCCCAGCAGGCCCCACGGCCCCCGGGGGCCCGCCGAGGCGTGGCGGTCCGAGGCGTCCGCCTGGTCCAGGTACTCGAACAGGCCGTCGTCCGCCGCCCGCTCCAGGGGGGCCGAGAAGCACTCCCAGACCGACGCGATGACCAGGACGGTCAGGAAGAGCTGGGTGTGGGTGTCCATCTCTTTTAGGCTGCCCAGGAAGCCCAGGCCCAGGCCTGCCCCCCCCTCCCCCTCCGGCAGGGACCCTGACCTCACGTTTCTCGCCGCAGGGCTCGCCGCCGATGAGCTGGTCATCCTTACAGCCGCCGTCTCGTCCACTGGGGGAGGCGGGGAGCCACCGGTCGCAGCGGGGACTGACCCCATGTCGGTGGGGGCCAATCCCATGTTGGTGGGCCCTTCGGAAGTGGCGGCCGAGGGAGCCGATGGAGCCGTTGGGTTCGTCCAGGCGGTGGAAGGGTCACTCCCGGCGCCGGTTGGGGTCGGGCCCCGGCTGGGAACCGGACCCTGCCCCGCGGGGCCGCATGGCCGGCCCCCCGCCGGCCCGTCCACGGGCGGCAGGAGCAGCAGGAGGAGGGCCACGGCGGCAGACAGCAGCAGGGAGCAGACGATGACCGCCCGCCTCTTGCGGTAGCGGGCGGCGAGCAGGCCGGCGGCGGGGCTCCACGCCAGCCCCAGAAAGCGGCGGGCGCCCATCACCACGCCCGCCATGGCCGGGGTCAGGCCCAGTTCCCGGAAGTAGAGGGTCAGGAAAGGGAGGAGGCAGGCCTGGGAGCAGGAGCACAGGAAGCTGAAGGCGCCGGACAGAGCCAGGGTGCGCTTGATGTCAATCTGCTGGCTCCTCTTCATGGCTGCAGACTCCGCCTGCCGGAACCAGAAAAACGGGTCACAATCAAGTTCAAATCAAGATAGAGTTCACAGATCTGGTTCAAACGCTGCGGGATCCTGGGATCTGGATAAACAATACCAGCCCGGTCTCAGGGTCACGATAAAGTTCTAATAAAACAATAAATCCATAAAGATAATTAAAAAAAACAAATGTCCGGTAAAGTGCGCCACAACAAAACTTACATCTGACCATAACAAAGCGTGAAAAAAAGGTGAGCGCACGGACCAGAGCAGCATAGAAAAGCTAAAGCTCAGAATAAAACTCACACAGAGCCAAAGGAGAGAGAAAAAAAAAAAAGAGGAGCAGCACCCGTCTCTGCAGGATGTCAAGATGTGGAACGCTTTAGTCCACGTCACTCCAAGTCCACATGATAAGGAAACAAACTAAACAAAACAAAAAAAATCGATTGCGACTAAGTTAATTTTTTTAAACTACTCTTGAACGTCTTTCCGCTTGGATCTTGTTGTGTTTTACTCTCCTCTACTTATCGTTCCCCATCTCCGGGCTCCACGTTCCTCCCACCGGCGGGTCTCCGGCGTGCACCTGCCGTTTCGGACCCGCGGCGCCCCGGCTGCTTCTCACCTGTGGAGCCCTGGTGGTGACCACAGCGCCCCCGCGCGGCCCGGAGGGAGAACGGGAGGCTGGCCCAGGTAAAGCATCCTGCTGGGGTCCAAACATCCCCCCCTCCCGTTTAGAAAAGACAAAGTCATTGCATGAAAAAAAAAACTAAAAAGAAAACAGAAATAAAACAGCTTAATAATCATCAACAAAGTTATTTTTTCTGAAGCTGATAAATAAACCGCTGAACTAATTTTTTCTTCCTCTTTTTTTGTTATTTTATAAAGTATTATTCATATATTCATTTTGTTTTAGGGTATGTCAGTATTGATTGATTTTCATAATAATCTCTACATTTGTCTTGTCAGATCTTGTGATCTGTCATTGACATAACCTTCTGACTTAACTGTGAACCCGTTTTTAAATAGCTGAACTTCAATCAAGTCCTGAAGAAAGTATTCTTACCCAATTATTCTACCCAATGAAATCCTGTGAGTTCTGATTTCATCGGCAAACAACTTTTAAAAAATGATGCACGCTTGTAGGCATCCCAGGCTTTTATTGGTAAATCATCAAAATAAATAGATCACATTATTACAACATTTTTTCTTTCTTCATTTGTGTAAAGTCTTGGATATAAAAAACGTACACTGTAGTACTCAAGTTGACGGTTTCTATTACCGATGGTAGATTAGTGACATGTGTGTTTCATTTTAGAGCTCTGCTGAGATTTAGAGAGCCTCTCGGGCTTCAGCGAGTCCAGTACCAGGTACCTCATGGACACGAGGCAGAGAAAGAGGTGATGGGAAGACAGAGCAGAGAGTAATAAGACGGGTTGAGGGGTTGGATCTGGCCTGGTAGTGGTTTGTAGGATTTCCAGTCCGAGCCGCTTCCCGGTTTACAGCATAAAGAAACTTCGCACCTGGAGACAAGTCAGAGCATTACCGTGGTGGTAGAGCCGTGGAGGGACCGATTTTACACGAGGAATTTTAACAATGTCTCGCTCAGGACCACAACTCTGTACGAGTCTCTCTCACCTGGTGACACTTTGAATGAACTTCTTCTCATCCTGATCCAGACAGACGGCGAAAGTTGTTCCATGGTCTCCGCCGATCACCCTCACCTTATCCACCTTTGCCTCTGATACCGAGATGTGCTGCCGGGAGGAGGGAAACGGGATCCATGGATTGGCGGTCCGCGGTACGGCGACCTTACCTTCCCTGCGTGTCAACCCCCCCCCCCCCCCCGGGTTGTGGCCCTTTTTAGACTTGGAGCACTGCCTCTTCAGGACCTCCGTCATGGTCATCTGCAGGCTCTCTTTCCAATCTGAAAGACAAAGAAGATGGATTAAGGAGGCGGGGAGGACACGGGGGCCTGTGTGTGTGTGTGTGTGTGTGTGTGTGTGTGTGTGTGTGTGTGTGTGTGTGCGCAGACTGACCGAGGTGCTCGGGTTTCCTGCACGCTTTGAGGAGGTTGACCGACGTGCAGGCCTTCTCCGACTTGATCCACCGGCTCCTGCCGCTCACCGCCACCTGCAATCCCACGCAAACGGGTTCAAACGTACATCCAGACTCGTGTGTCGTTGTCTGGAACGCGGGGGGTCTGCACGAGGCGGCCGCTTCGCACCTTGTTGTACGCTATACTCAGGTTTAAAGGGACAGCCTCCCGTTCCTCGTCGATTCCGAACCTTTTGCTGGCGGCCCCTTCAGAGAGAATGAAGCGTGTGTTAGTTTATGCGTGTGAAGGTGTGTGAAGGTGCACGCGGTGCGGCCGCTGTCCGAACACGTTACTGACTCATGGCCTTCACGGCTCTGGTCCCGGCTGTGTGTCCCAGCTCCAGAGAATGAATGAACACTTCTTTTCTCCTTTCTCCCCCCGCCAGGGTCAACTGTGCGACAGAAAGGGACGACAGCGTTTCATTCGTAGGCACACCAGCGCTCATTAAAAGGCTACCGCGTGTTCGTCTGTGCGAGGGGCTCCTCGGACCTCGGCCTGGTAGAGCTGTACCAGGATTGGTTGGTTGGCTTTTCTGCAGTAATAAAGCACCAGGTCGGCCAGCAGGGGGAGATGCTCCGAGCTCCCGGAATTCACCGAGAAGTCCTCGTCCTTCGGAGGGGCCTGAGTGGTGGGAAATTCAGAGGATACAAATTGGTGTGCAGGCAGATGTTCGAACATCAGCTAAATTAAGTATACCTGGCCTGAAAATCATCCTTTACCAAGCTAACGCCACCTGACATTTCCCAAACCCACCCCACCGACAGCCAAACATTTCCAAAGATTCTGATTTTGGCTGTTTTCATTGGGATTTTGGGCTCTTTACTCAGGCGGGGCCTAAATCAACTTTCTACAACATTTACACGCACATTTAGCTCTTTCTTTGAACTCATTTTACTGAACAACCTTTCATCCTCCCAGACTGAAATATTATTATGAAACTGGTTATGTCAAATCCTACAATCTGACAGGATATGCAACTGATTATTAGAAATGTAAAATCATGTAATAATCTTTAATTTCATTTTAAAAAAAGACAAAGGACAAGCAGAGTTATGAGCCAGAGACTAAAGCTGACTCTGGATGTCCCCCATCTCTTCTGCAGATCCCATAATAAGATAAATCTATCCAACAGCAAAAAGAGTCTGAGATATTTAGGCGATAATGCCGTCACTGATAGATCTGTTGGCTATCAGTCGACCAAGTGGAGTATTTATCCTCTTTTTAGCTTTTGGCTCCTCCTGAGAAACGCAGCTGGCTATTTAGCTGTGGCATGCTCTGAAAGTGTGTTTGTTGTCATCCACATACAACTGATTTCCAATTACTTGAAAAATGAAAAAAAAAAACATTTGAAAAGGATTTCCATTTGACCCTTTAATACACATCTTACAAAGGGACACCATACTGATAATACTTGATAAAATGAAATGAAGCCCGTACCCTTATAGAACAAGGGTAGAACATATTTTACAGATGAAATGAAAACATTTTCTATTTCTCACTCATTTTGAATTAAGTCAACTTAAATTCAAGTAGATCATGGCTGCATCACACTAAAAAATAATTTAACTGGCTTTAAATTGAATTTGACTCTATAAATTCTTACTAATTTATTGGCATTTATTTATTCTTCTCACACTATCATTATCACTTATTTTAGATCGGTATATATACATATAGTTAAATATGTATATATTTATTTATATTTGGAATGTTTTGTATATATATATATATATGTGTGTGTGTGTGTGTGTGTGTGTGTGTGTGTGTGTGTGTATAGACATGTATATATGTATATGCTGTTGTATATCTGGAGTTGGTAACAAAAAAAAATAAAAATAAAAATAATAATAATAATAATAAATAAAATAAAAAAATTTAAGAATGTTAAAAAAAATCAAAAGGTTCCACCCATTGATGTCACAGTGATGTCACTAACTGTGACATCACTGTGTCCCCATGACATCACGTCAGAGCTTATAAATAGGGCCCCCGGAACAGAACCTGTCAGTGTGTTCCGAGCCTTGCCAAAGAATCTCACTGTACTGTCACTGAGCCTTTACTGCCACTTTTACCCCGTTTTAGCATCATTTTATCAGGTAATATCAAATTCATCAGCAAAATGAGCCAAATTGACGAATTGTCCAATGCAATTTGGAGCGCAATAGTCGAAGATGAGATGCCAAATGGTGTCTGCACCTTTGAATACAATCCTTTAGTTCGCTTTGATGAATCTTTACACCCGCCAGAAACACCGCGGTCTGATAGGGACCTTTGGGAAAACCAATCCCAGGGTTCTGTTAGTTCTGACGAGCTTCTGTCAGAAGGAGAAGTCATCATAGATGACCAAGTGTTTGTGTCAACTCCAAAAGGAAATGATCTTTTTGAAAAGGGAGAACCACAAGAATCTAACGATGGTGCGACAGAAAGGGAACCTGGGGAAATAGATGAATCCCAGCTCTCCTCTGAATCTATCCGCCCTCGGTCAAGAAACCCTCCAACAGCAGATGAGGAACCCGGGGACGCAGAGGCCCGAACGCGGAACAACCGCTCCCAGATGGCTGGTGCATGCGGTTACAGCCGCCCTCGTGGTCCTGCACCTCAAAACGGCAGGAGAAACTTCAATAATCCATCATCTTATCCCGCTACTCATGTGGGATACCCTCGGAGAGAATGGACCCCCTCTCACGCCCCCGGTCCCAACCAATGCCACGGACAGGGACAGAACTATCAGGGACCAGGAGCTATGCCCCAGCATGCCTACGAGCACATCAACTATCTGGGCCACGAACTGGACATCCTGACCGCCAAGCTGCAGAAAAAGAATTTTTTTCTGACGCAGGAAAAAAACAGGAGGCTTGTAGCAGAGGAGGACTGCTACAGGTACGAGCTGGAACTCAAGGAGCTGAAAGACAGACTGAACGACGAGGGCCAGCTGAGAAAGAATTGCGAGGAGGAGCTCAGCAGACTCAAAGCAAGCATGGAAGAACTGTGGCAGTCCTCCAGATCGCTTGAAGAGGAGACAGAGAAGTTGAAGAAGGAACTGAAGGACAAGACCGCCTCCAATGCTGAGCTCTCTTCTAAAGTCACATCCCAGAGGGAGGTCATCGAGGCTTTAGAAAAGAAGGAGGCAGAGCTGTTACAAATTATATTTAACACAATTGTCGACACACCAACAGACAGCGAAACAGAGCAGAACAACAGCCTTGATGAATTGGATACCCTCCAATTGGAGAGCCAAGAACTGGATGACCAGTATGAAGAAGACATCATCACAGAAACAACACCACTGGTTTCTGAAGTTCCAAAGGAGACAATTACATCAAAGAAGGCTCGGCGCAAAAATAAAAAGGTTGGGAAAGTTATTGAGGACCACCCGGTATCTACAGTGGAGGAAAAGATTCAAGTACCCAAAGAAGAGGAGGCTACCGAGTGCCTAGAACAGGAAAAAGAGCAGGAACCTCCATCTGATTCTGGACTAACAGAGGCTGCTCAACAAACAAAAGCGCTGTCCAAAAAGCAAAAGCGTAAATTAAGAAAGAGACAATCAATGCAAACCGAGGAACTCACAGACCATCAACAATCTCAAGAAGAAGAAAATACTGAAGAAACCAAAGTAGAGGAGGCTTCAGAGTACCCAGAGCAGGAAAAAGAGGTGGATCCTGGGCTGGTGGGGGAAGGGAAACCAGAGCCGACATTAGACGAATTACTGAAAAGCATTCAAGGTTTTGTTAAACAGACTGTGGAACTTCAAACAGATATAGCCTCCATTAAAGAGCAGGAACCTCCATCTGATTCTGGACCAACAGAGGCTGCTCAACAACCAAAAGCGCGGTCCAAAAAGCAAAAGCGTAAATTAAGAAAGAGACAATCAATGCAAACTGAGGAACTCACAGACCGCCAACAATCTGAAGAAGAAGAAAAGACACAAGAAACCAACGTAGAGGAGGCTTCAGAGTACCCAAAGCAGGAAAAAGAAGTGGCTACTGGACTGCTGGGGGAAAGTAAACCAGAGCCGAAATCTAAGGAACTGGAGATGATTCAAGAGGATTTTATCGAAATTAAACCAATGCCATCGCCCACAGCAGAGCCAGATCATGACAGGGTTTCAGAGCATCTGGACTCCAGTGACCTGGAACCCAACAGCGAATACTCGTCCACACTGAGTACTTGGTCCTCAATGACCATTTACTTACCCGAATCCTCAGAATCAGAGGACACAAGAGTTCAGCTGGTGTCACTATGGAGACGATTTAAAAAATCAATGACGCCAAAAAGCCTGCGTCAATACAAAGACAGACGTGATAGGAGATAAACAACAGCCAATCCTAGCTTCCAAAAGCGTCATCTCTCTATCTTTCTATCTCCCTCCATTTGTCCCCGTGTATCACTCTATCTAAAGCAGGACCGACGTCTGGAGAACTGGAAACAATTGAAGAACATTTAATCGAACAGACTGAGAAGTCCCAACCAGAAACATCTGAACTAAAAGAGAACTAAAAGAGTCTCTGGACTCCAGAGAGCTGGAACCCAACACCGCACACTCAACTTCATCGGTGGACCCCTGTCCAATCCTCACTCTGTATAGTGGTTCAAATGAATAATAAAGCATTATTAAAATGTAAATACTTGATGTTCTGCTAGATCTTTTCACATTTGACTCCTGCATGTACTTAAAGTGCTTTGTTCTTCCTGACTAAGATCATATTTTTTTTTATTCACACAATCTAGGTTCTCTTTCAAATGTTAAGGATGTGGATTTCTGTGTAAACTGACTCAAAGGTTTGAGATAATTCAATACATTCCAAAAAAATAAATAAAAAAGAAATGGTGTTATTTCTAATTTAAATGTTTTTCTTTGAACAAATTAAAACATTTTTATTCCCAAATTGTGTATTTTAAGTGTCTGTTGTTTATCACTATAAGGAGAAACTTTTCCTTTGAAAGAACTTTAAATGAAGTTTTTACGCATGTACTGTTAGTTTTCACTTCACCAGACGTCAGAATTATTAGGGTTAAATCCAAATTTTAGAATTGAAACAAAGATTCATCTAAATGAGTGAATGTAAAAATACTTGCAGCACATTTTTACTCATTCAGAATCAGCAACAGAAATTCTAAGAATTGAATTTTTTTTTTAAGTTCTCAAAAGAGGTATTTTTTAAATAATTAACAGTTACAACGCTCAATGAGCATTTTTAAATGTTTTAATAATCCTAAATGTGGTCTTGATAAGTACACACACACACACTGGATACCAGGAAAGGCTTGATTTCAGTTTTTTGCTCCTAAAAACTGGAACAGTCTTCCTGGAGAGGTGAGACAGGCCTAAACTCTGACATTGTTTAAATCCAGATTCCACGACTCTATGTGACTGTGCATATGACAAATGAATGTATTTTATCTGCACTCTTCACTATTTAATCACTGATTGTTTTATTTGGTTGAACTGATTTTCATATATTTTCTTTATCTTTAATTTTTACTTTTAAACTGTCTTTAAAGTGTCTTGTACATTGAAATTTGCCATACATATAAACTTTCCTTGCTTATACTTGCTTCCAATGGGGTACAAAGAGACTAAAATGCATGTTAAATTATGGTTTCTGCCTATTTACAACCATAAAAACGGATTTAGAACTTTATATCGATAGATTTCATCAAGTTTTAAAGCATCGAAACACTAACAATTTACATATTCACACACGTATATATATATGCGTGTGAGTCAGTATATATATATATATATATACTGTATGTAATGCCTTAATCAAGCACAAGTTAGGACATTTCTGTTTTTTTAAATTTCCCAGTTTTACACCATAAACTGTGACTCAAACTATGACAAAAGCATCCATTCTGGTTGTTATTGCTCCAAAGGAATGAAAAACAAAAAATACTGCAAAGACATGTATCCCCATCCTTTTTCTCTAAGTGTAGACATTGAAGGGTCAGAAGACATGATTTTTTCGCCTCCTATTATTTTAGACAGCTATTTGTCAACTTCCTGTGTTATTTCCACATCCTTTGTTGTTGACGCATTTCTGTTTGCTTTGCTGGCTGTGCTTCTTCCTCACCTGCTATGAGTTGGGTTGCAGACCCCCATCCCCACTCCCACGGCAACTCCTCCCAGATTGCACGTTATTTGTGACCATCTTTTTTTTTTTACCTCTGTGTGTTCGCACCTTCGGTTTCTATCCCAATTTATGTGTAAAAACTTCAAAAAGGAAGAAAGAAAATACCTGACAGAGCACGTCAGAGGACAGACTGAGCAGGCTGAGGACGTTGCGTTCGTACCAGGGATCCAGCCTGCTCAACATCTGGGCCACGCCCGTGGTGCCGCCCTCCGCCGTGGCGTGGTTCAGGTCCTGTCGGGATAAAGAGGCAGAGGATGACTTTTTTCCTCCTGGATGACCAGTTAAAGAGCGACACGGGGCTCTAGCAGGAAAATATCGATGCTGGCCAGGAAGACACGGTTTTGTTTCAGAAACAAAGGGTCAAAGGTCAGATGTGAATAACGGCAGGGGGGGGCGCCTCTCTTTTAAAACTTTTAAAACATGGCTGCCATCTTGAAAAGCGCCATATTGAACGCGTTTTTGTTGTTTTTGTTTGGTTTCCCCCTCATGCAACATGGGAATTGACTGGTGCGTTTTCCACAGATTTTCACCATCTCTTGTGGTTGGAACGTTTTCAACAACAAGCGGTAACGTTGCCTGTGAAGTCCAGCGTGCTGTCCCTGGTGCTGAACACGCCACGTTACTTGTCGGGGGAAACTCCGACTTGTCTTCTTCCCTTTTCGTTTTTCTGAAGTTCAACAGTGTCCTGTGACCTGCATAAGCTCTTAATGACACACATCTGAAGGGGTCAAAGATGAGTCAGCTTGCTGGAGAAATAACTCTAAGTGAAATGCCATGTGTGTAGGGGTAAAATAACACATCGGGTGGGCGTGGCGGCGGCGGCCCTCACCACACAGTTGGCGCTTTTGCTTAAACTTCCTGTCTGCGTTTCTGTCGGCGTGTGCCCTCCTCCTGGACTTCCACTTCTCCTTTTAGTCGGAACAAAGTAGAACTGCAGCTTGCAGGTCCGGGTGAGCTGTGGGCACTTGGCCTCTTTCTGCTGCAGGTCGCTGTAGGCTCGGGCCAGCCTCCCGGCCTCCCGGTCCCCCCCGAACACCACCACCTTGACCAGGGTCCACTCCTCCGGCCCGCTGCCCTCGTCGCAGCTCAGGATGGGCCTCCGCCGGACGCACGGGTGCTTCTGCGGGGAGAGGGCGTCCGGCGGGGCGGCGGGCGCGTGGCGGGGGGGCGCCCATCTCCAAGCCGAGCGGCCGTCTTTGCCGGCGTCTCCGTGGTGACCCATGCTCTGGACGCGGCGGCACTGTCTGGGACTGCCGGGGGATTTGAAAAGCAGGGAGAAGCGCTCCATGCCCAGAAAGGACTTGGACTTCTTCTTGGGTTTCTTCCGGAGCTCGGTCCGGCCGTCTCTCCCCTCCTCCGAGTCCTCGTTCGCCAGGTCCTCGCTCGGGTCGCTCTCCACCCCCGACGAGCCGGACGGCACTGACCAGCTGGAGGACAGGGAGACGCCGGAAAACCCGGAGTCCCTGGAGGAGGAGGAGGCGGTGGAGGCGCGGTGGCTCTGAAAGTCCTGGTCCGACTCCTCCTCGTCCACGCTGGTGTCGTTTTCGTTATCGTCCTCGTCCGTTCCCTCTTTGAGGAAACACTCTGGAAGGGGATCCAGGTCGGAGTCCACGGCGAGGACGTCTCTCAGCACATCTGCGTGAAGAAGAGGAGCTCCGGTTAAACACCGACGAGCACGCGGTGAAGAGAGGGAGGGGGGTTCGAAACCAGGCCGGTTACCGAAGGTGTCGCTGTCCCATGAGCAGGCGTGACATTTTGGAAACGGCAGCTTGAACGTCTCGGCGTCTCCTGAAAAGAGAGCGTGGTGATGAGACTAAAAAGAGGTTTAAAATGTAAAATGATAAAATCCTACGCTGTTATGTAGATCTATATATGTACTATGTACTTGAATCTGAATTTGAAGAAATCCTGGTAGGTTGTAAGGTAAAAAATAGGGTCGGCAAGAATAAGCTTTGCTTCGGCCTATTCCTTTTTTGGTAAACTGTGGGTTTGTCTATTGTTCTTTTCTTTTTTCTTTTGTTGTTTCTTGTGTTTAATGTGGACAATTTACCAAAATAAAGTGATTGATTGATTGATTGATTGAAGACTGAGGTAACATTAACACGGTTTTCGTCTGAATTTGACCGTGGTGTCGGCCGTCTTACGGGTCGCCACGCCGTCGGCGGGACCGGAGTCGGCGCGGAGGCCGTCTCTGAGCCTCCTCATTTTGCGGGACAGCGCCTCCCGAGCCGCGCGGTGATCCGCCGTGGAGCTCGCCGTCTCCATGCTGTCGGTCACTTCCTCCAGGAGCCGCTGCAGCTCCTCGGGCCGCTTCCCCTGGAGGGACATTCGGACGGGTCGTCTCAGGCTCCGAGATGTAGGGGCGGGCATCTAGGCGGGTGGCGGTGGTTTACCTGCAGGGCGGCGTGGAGCGCCTGCAGGTCCGGCTGGCCCCCCAGGGCGGCCTGGAGGCTGTGCAGGATCAGCGTGGTGGCGATGTCTCCGCCGGAGTGGCGGGCGGCGCTCAGCCGCTCCGACGCCGCCTGGACCTCCGGAGGGTCGTCCTCATCCGCGCTCAGCATCAGCACCAATCTGACCAAAGATATCCACGCACGTGCAGATGTATGAAAGAAAAAAGATAAAAAAAACAATATAAAATAAAGGCTGCCTCCCTTAAGCTCTGGTTAAATTATGGGTACAGTCCGGGGGGGAACTTACATGGTTTTAGAGCAGTGAACGCCACGGGAAACGGCCTGCTCTGTCCTTACCAGACGATGAAATGATATACCTTTGACAAAAAAAAAAAAGAAGACATGCAGCCACAATGAGCACCTGCCTGCTTATGGCCACAGATATTTGCGAAAATCTTAACCGATTTAACAGATTTGTCAGTTGAACTCATCTCTCTCAAAAATCTTTGTCTCAATTAACATGACTAACTAAGAAAAAACTGGATGTTAAATTGAGAATAAATTAGCTTTTGGCAAAAAATGTATCTGAACATGATGTCAGATACAAGACCCCCCCCCCCAAAAACACAAGAAGTAATGCCAAATGCCACAATAGCGGGACTTTTTTTCTTCTTTTTTAATCAGTGGAAAGCTGTTTCTCCAGGACCAAGACCACAACCTTGTCGAACCAGAGTGGGAGTCATCTTGAATCCACAGATCTGAGCTTTGGGATGCCCCTTTTAAAACGCCCTCAGAACTATTTTTGAGGAGTCCTTTTAGAAACGAAGGCTTTCCGAGAGAGTTTACAGTCTTTCTTTGCCCGTTTGGTTGCGGTGCGAGTGTGATTAAACCCAACCTGGTGCGCGGAGCTCCTGCTGGATGAGGTCCAGGAGGCGTCTGCAGGCAGAGCTGCAGGGCTCGGGCCAGGAGAGGAACCTGCCGAATAGCTGGCAGGCCTCCTGCAGCACGCCGCTGCCGGGATCCACGTGAGGGGCCTGGGACGGACGAGGGAGAGAACCCGGTTAGACAACACGCTGAAAAAAACAAGACAAAAAAGAGGAAGAAAAAGAGCTAGAAATGTTCTGTTGAGGAGCGATGGCCTCAAAAGAAGCTGAGACAGACTCACTCCCAGCAGGGCTGAGGAGAAGAGCAGTGTGAGGGGCACCACCAGCTCGTACTGGCTCTGCTCCAGAACCTGGGGACAGAAGCAAAGGAGAATATGAAGCACCTCACATGACCACATTGGGTTTCGTTTTGTTTTTTGTCAGCTCTTCACCTCTTTTGTTTTCCACAATATTTTTCGAAGGAGGATGAGGAAGTTGTGGGGATCTCTTTTGACAAGTTCCTCCAAACACCAGCGGCTTATGCACAGCCCAGCTAATCCAGAAGAGAGGGAAACAAAACAAATAACACAAAACCCGAACTGAGGGCGCAGTTCTCCTTTCGGAGTTTCGGTCAACTCGAACGCGTCTTTTCCTCAGAACCCACCTGCGCGTATTTCGGCTGAATTTTTCTGAATGGAATCGCTTTCGTTAAGTTATTTCAAAGTTGAATCACGCAGGATACACCCCCACATGCCCCGTGTCACCACTTTCAATTCCTATCCCCCCCCCCCAGGCCTGCGTGCGTCCAGCTGTTTTCTGGGCATTTGGGAGTTACAAACCCATCTGATCCGAAACGACTCAGTAACTTGGACAGAAACAACATCGTTTGACACATTCCTCCTTTGTGAACTTTGAAAACAAATTAGAATAGAGTGCGATCCGGGTTCCTACCGTTCCACAGCTGCCTGCCGGGGGAGTCCGGAGCCAGGTGGCAGAGGCAGCGCTCCAGGAGGTGTGTGATCCGATCCTCCGTGCAGGAGCTCTGCTCCATCATCGGCAGGAGGGTTTGGACAGAACAGGAGGAGAAAAACCCAAGGGGAAGTCGGCTCTGTTGTGTTTTTTCTTCTTGTGCCCTAGCAGAACCCGGAGCGCCTCTTCAGGGGTCCACACTTCCTGCCGCCGGTGTCGCTATCAATCAAAAGAAGAGGGAAAAAAGGGGGAAAAAATCGTTGTTCCCTTCCAGAAAAAGTAAAAAAAACAAGTTCACAGGATGGACTAAGTTCGCGCAAACACAAGTGTCCGACGCACAGATGTGAGCGCAGGCTTCCACAGTCTGGCAACTTCCCACTGGTGACTCAGTCTGTGAGTGGACCGGAGATGAGCTGGCGGAAGAAAAAAAAAACAGCCGTCACAACTTCTTCTTTTTCATTCTTAAAATTAGCCGCCGACATCTGATTTCTTATTACTCGAAACTCACCGGGGGGATAAACATCAGGAGACAACTTCCTATTTGATATTTATCTAAAAGGTCTCATGGGAGGCGTTGGGGTGATCACGTGATAATCTGTGGTTGAAATGAATGAACACTTCAAGACAAACAACTGAAACCGCACAGACCGTGTAGAGGCAGAAGGCAGACGTTTGTTCTCGTATTTGTGGATTTGAATCAGACTGATCTGATGTCCGTGAGAGGGACAGTTCCCCTGGCCCAGATCCATATGTCTGACCAGCAGGAAGTTAGGGTGCATAAGGAACTTAACCACTGTAACTAAACCAGGAAAAGACCTCAGAAGAAGAAAACATTCTGAAATATCCGTGTGACTCGTAAATTAGAAAAATTTACACAAACACACTTCCCCAGCATGAATAACCAGTATAGCTAAAATATGGGTGAATTACTCTGTTTGCAACACAGTTCTCCTCGAGGATTATCTGCATTTAATCTGGGAAATCTCTCCACTATTTACTTCTGAATGCTCACCATGGCATGCTTTATCCTTGAGAGTCTCTGCCTCTCTACGGTGCTCTTTTTAACTATCGGTTCTTATCACCGTTCTGTCGTTAGCAGGGTTAGTTGCACCAGTCGTTTTGTGAGTGGGGTGGCCGACCCCTCCTGGCTGTAGCTGATCTCCCGACTTTTCGGAGAAGTCCCATTTCGAAACGTGGGATTTCCAAAGAAGTTCTCAGACAGAGGCTGGGAGCCTAGTCTCCTCCGTCAAAGGATCCCATTTGGAATTTGGTGCAGAGCTGCACTTAAACAGGAGCTTTCAGCCCCACTTTTAGCGAATATTCCACTTATTTATTCATTAATTATAGCTATCTGTGGGCCACTGTGTGTGCAGAGATAGAGAAAATGCAGCATTTGCTCGGGGTTAAGAGACTCCCCTCTTATTTTCAGCAGCTCTGTGCTCAGCTGTACCTGGATTATCCCGCTTCAGCAAACAGGCCCATCAATTGTCTACTGAGGAAGCAGGTGCCGGTCCATTGTGTGTGGTGGGACTCTATTGTCCGGCACCGCCACCGTAGCTTGACCTGCCGCGAGGCTAAAACAAACCAGCAGACCCCAGTGAACCACCAGGCCCTGCTGCCGGGACAGTTTTGGGCCCCAACGGGACGAAGACGAATATCGGCCCGGTCCCAGCTGGCCCGGGATCAGCTTCATAGGATCGTACAGCGTTTAACGCTGCACCCTCCTGATTGCGCAGGACTTTGGGGGTTGTAAAAGAAAGGGAACAGGAAATGTGCAGATCTTGAATAACACTTTGCAGTTAAGAGCTGATGCAAGCTGTGTGCCAAAGGCTTTTCCCCTAGAGGAGTCAGCACACATTGAAACCGTAAAAAACAAAAAAAACAAAAAAAAACAAAAAAAACAACATGCCAGCCTGAGACGCACAACAGAGATACAGCACCGGGAATTACCGCTTTAGTATTGTGGAGGGATCGTCATTAAGAAATTGTGGAGGGATTGTAATGGAGAATGAGTCAGGAGACAGAAGACCCAGCGCTTACCGTGTGATGCAGCAATCAAAGCTGTCAGGGTCCTAGATCATCCCGGATCAGCCACCACTCAGCACCACCGTCGGAGGGGAAACAATATCAAGACCACATCCTCCTGTCGAAAATAGACCCTCCGACTGCGCCGCCAAGAAAGCATGTGCTGCAAAACAGGAACTTGATGAGGGTTAATGCCGAGGTGCTGCATTGTGTTGTTGCTGTGGGAGGAGCTGTCCCCCTGACAGAAGTCATTAAGTCAAAGAGCTAAATCGGCAACACCTCTCTCACCATACTCCGCCAGAGTGCGCGCATTACTGATTCCTGAGTCCTGAGTTTTGTTATCCTTTTTTATGTTTGTTTGGTTTTTTGTATGCTTAGAAGCCGGACTTTACAAATCGTGTTGTGTTTCAATGCTCCCCTGAGATTAATTTAGTCCGTTTTCGCCCAATGTCCACTCTGTCACGAGGACAGGGCAACAAAAACACTACACATACACCGATAATGCAATTTAAGGATGTTGTTGTCTTTGGACCGCTCACAGAAAGCATTGGCAGAGGACATTTGAAACGTTGAGCAGAGATTGACCAGGCTTCATATTTGCGGGCAATCATCTCTGAGCCGCAGTCTCCCCCAAATCAGTCAGAAATCAATAGAGAAAAAATTCAAATATTGTAGTTTCACTCTCGGATGAACTTGGCATACACTCTGCTGTGATTCATATGCAAAACCACATACTTCTTTCCTAGTCTTTATGTAATCAAAATGAGAATTAAAAAAAATAATCAACGTATTGTTATAAAAATGTCTTCAAAAATTCTTTAAAGCAGAGGTTCTCTGCTTGTTTTAACACACAAAATGTATAATAAAAAATAATCAATAATTTAAACATATTTTTGTCTCAATCATCAACTTTTTAATGTACGTGTATGGAGTCAGGTCCTTTTTTTCATGTATGATAAGACACAATTGAAAAGGATGGATTCCTTTTTTGGCCAATATTTCTTCAAATAATCTGCACTCTTTTTCTTTTGAAAAAAAAGCCTGTTTTCTTGCTAATGAATAATACATCACAACTATAGTTAGTTGTTGCGTTTGTTGTCTAGATTTGTAGAAAGAATGAATGAGGTATCGAGGAATGAATTGAAAAAAAATCACCTTAATTTAGAGTCCAAGATAATTTTTACAGGAAGGTTTTCTTCCATGCAGTCCACGCGGCGGGCCAGAAGATGTCGCTGCTCCCTTTCCGTGAGGCCGAGAGGCGCTCCGCTCCTCACACACCAGCGGTCCTCTTTTTTCCTCCTCCCTGTGATAACGGAGGGGGAATGGAACAGGCAGAGATAGAGGTGGGCAGAGGTGTGACTGAGTGGACGGCCAGTGGCAGAGGGAGATACTCGGAGCCAGCTGGGCAGTTGCCATCTCCACTTTTTTTTTCACATTTATTTTTCACACAGGGTGGAAAGTTAAGCTGCCACCTTTTGTTTGGTGCGTAAACGGGATAGGCTGTTTCTCTCCAAATTCTTTTGGAGTCCCGACACTTTCAGACTGAGAGGTGTTTTTTCGGAGGTTGTTGTCTGGGTGGAGTTTTCTTTCGCCTTGTGAGATTAGTTCCTACACATCCAGCATCTTTGGCGATTTGCTTCCCCTCTTCCTCCCGCTGGTTTTCCCCTCGCGCGCGTCTCGCCATCGTCTTGATTCCCCCTGACTCCACTCCAACCATCTGATAACCCTGTCTCTGCTGCGTTCAAGCGCATCGGTCCCCGCGGTGCTCGGATTACAATGTTAGGGACCGTGGAGATGTGGACGGCCCTGCTGACCGTTTGCGCGCTGGCCGGGCGCGCGCGGGGCGGGTACGGGCTGAGCATGTTCGCGGCGCAGTCGTCCCCCCCGGACCCGTGCTACGACGAGCACGGCAACCCGCGCCGGTGCATCCCGGACTTCGTCAACTCCGCGTTCGGGAAGGACGTGCGCGTGTCCAGCACCTGCGGCGCGCCGGCCGCCCGCTACTGCGTGGTCAGCGAGAAGGCGGAGGAGCGCGCGCGGGACTGCCACACGTGCGACGCCGCCGACCCCAAGAAGGCGCGCCCGCCCGCCTACCTGACCGACCTCAACAACCCGCACAACCTGACCTGCTGGCAGTCCGAGAACTACGTCCAGTTCCCGCAGAACGTCACGCTCGCGCTCTCGCTGGGCAAGAAGTTCGAGGTGACCTACGTCAGCCTGCAGTTCTGCTCGCCGCGGCCCGAGTCCATGGCCATCTACAAGTCCATGGACTACGGCAAGTCGTGGATGCCGTTCCAGTTCTACTCCACGCAGTGCAAGAAGATGTACAACCGGCAGAACAAGGCGGCCATCACCAAGCAGAACGAGCAGGAGGCCATCTGCACGGACTCGCACACGGACATGCACCCACTGACCGGCGGCCTGATCGCCTTCAGCACGCTGGACGGCCGGCCGTCCGCGCACGACTTCGACAACTCCCCCGTGCTGCAGGACTGGGTGACGGCCACCGACATCAAGGTGGTCTTCAGCCGGCTGCACACGTTCGGCGACGAGAACGAGGACGACTCGGAGCTGGCGCGCGACTCCTACTTCTACGCCGTGTCCGACCTGCAGGTGGGCGGCAGGTGCAAGTGCAACGGGCACGCGTCCAAGTGCGTCAAGGACCGCGAGGGCAGCCTGGTGTGCGAGTGCAAGCACAACACGGCGGGGCCGGAGTGCGACAGGTGCAAGCCCTTCCACTACGACCGGCCCTGGCAGCGCGCCACGGCCCGGGAGGCCAACGAGTGCGTGGGTAAGGCTCAGCATCTTTTTCTAAAACATTATTTATCAAAGAAAACATTGTGGAAACGCACGCTTTTATATAATCTCACCTGCCTGAGTCAATCAATTAACATGCTATGAACAGAAGTAAATTAGTAATCTTCGTTTTATGTCGTTACGCGCAAAGAATTTTCCGTTTGGCCGCTGGTGTGATTTGTTTCCTCTTTGAAAACGAACCAAAAGCCACGCTCCGCAAAGTCTACGATGTAAAAAAGCGCACAAAAGTTTCATATTCCAAAGAAAATGTACTTTTCTCACATGCTACTATTAATGACGACACTGACCAGACGTTCGTAAAGGGAGACACACTTGACCGAGGCCAGATAAAGTCCAGGCCGCGCGCGCGGAGGGGAAGGCCACGCATGTAGAAAAAGTGCTGACATTTGAACGGCCAAGGGTTTGAAAATGACCGTCAATAATCTGTCCAAGTTTATAGTCTGAATTATTTATCCTTTGGTCAGACTCTTAAACGACTCTCTATATTTAGAAAATAAAAGAAACGAGGCCTAAAGGTTCAGCACGGTGGAGAACTGAATAACCCTAAACATTGTGGAATTTATCAGTTGTATTTCTCACTCCGATTATTTTCAAATTAGAATAAATCTGGACCTCATTCGCGTAATCAAACGGATATCTTCCGAGAAACGAATTCCTGGGCTCTTGTTGCATATACATGTTCAAACTAGGTTTCTTTTTTTTATTTAAACACCGTGAGTTTATCCTTGGGCTGTGATCGGCATTCAAAACAAAATTCGTAACCAGGAAATAAAAGGCAGGAAGCCTTTTTTTTCCCAGCAGACAAAGCGCGCCTGTCCAAACGCGCGTAATTGCGCCCTGATCCGAGTTTCCGACTGTAGCCGCGGCTCTGGGAGGAAGGAAACGCGGCAGCTGCGGAGAGAGGCTGCAGGGGCGTGTTGTGTTTCCGTAAGCAGGTGCCGTTACAGATCGGGATGGGCGATTAGGGAGGTTTTATTGACGTTTTTTTGGCGCGTCGAGTAGAAACCGGCGCTTTGGAGGCGGTGAAACTATTCAGGGGCGAGGACAAAAGCGTTGAGTAATTTGAAGCCGGATCGGAGTTTATGTTGTGTTTGCTGTGACGCTTTAATTTTCCAACAAACTGGGGGGGTGGTGGTGTTGGCATTTTCAGCGGCAAGTCTGCAACAAGCCCCGACACTGCCGTGCTTTGCTTTGCTTTGCTTTGCTCACCCGAACGGAGCGAGCTTTTCCCTTTTGCCCTCCGACTTTCGCCCGCATGTGAGCGCACTGGACCAAAACAAAGGCTCCTCACTCGCGGCATCCATCTCGCTGTCAGTGGGAGGGAGCCCCCCCCCCTCCCCCTCCCGGCTTTTCAGCGTCTGGCCGCTTGTGCAAGCGGTTGTCATCAGATAGAAAAGAGAAAAAAAAGCCACAGAGGAGTAGGCTATGTCTTCCACTGAGGGCATAATGGTGAAGGGTGGCCTGACACCTGAATGTGAAAGAAGAAGAGCCACGGGAGGGGCCGTTTCCATTCAGCCCTCTGTCCATATGGTCTGGCAGTGGGGTCTGGTCCAGCCTGATGCTGCACATTGTGACACTGAAGCAAGAGAGAGAGAGAGAGAAAAAGAGAGATAGAGAGGGGAAAAGATGCAGTTATGGGAGACTTGGTCTCCGTTTTTGGCGGCAGGCATCAAGGAAGTAAGACAAAGTCAATTTCCCATGACTTTGCGTGCAGGGTTGCCATCATTTTTTTTTAGTCAAAAAAGAAATTTGTGTTGGCAGCGGCGGGCCTCGCATTCCGATCAGCTGGAGGCACATGAAAAGCGAATTTGTCCGTAACGCCCCCCCCCCCCCCTCCTCACCTCCCCTCCTGAGGAATCTGATCGGCCACACCGGAGTCAGAAGGTGGAGGAGAGTTGGTTAGTTTTGGACGGATCGCTGAGCGGCAGGCTGAAGAACATCTGGAGCAGAACCTCTGTATGAAGTGACTTTGGATCTTCGCAAAGAGTTGTAAAAACCCTAGAATCATAGATAAAAAAACAAACAATCACACAACCAAACATGACATTTGATTAGATATTAGAGAAGTAAAAGCTCAAATTCTGGTTTTCGCTTGAGAGATGTATGGTTTAAAGGCTTTACTCACTGTTATGAATTCTAAAGGCTCATTGAACCCGTTCTTTACGTCCATGTGTGTGAAACCCGCCACCTATTGCATGACTGGTTATCATTTCTGTGAGGAGTTGGAGAGAGGGCCCACATGTGGTGGCGGGTCGGGCCCTCCCGTCCCAGGCAGCTGCTTCATATTCTCCCCGTGTTCCGCCCGTAGCGCTGACCCCTGACAGTCCGGCCCCCCGCTCCTCTCCGGCCTGACTGATGGGCTGTGAAGGGGAACTGTGGGAAACCTCGGCTTGCCAAGTGGGCTCTGAGGCGAGGTGAAAATGGCCGCCCCGGGTCCCTCGTATACGTGTGCGCTCATACGGTGTGCAGGCTTTTATGTGGCTGGAGGTGTGTTTCATGTGGGACCTGTGATTTCATCGGGCCGTCGGGCAGTGTAGGAAAACAGATCTCTGCGTATCTGATCACAGGCTGGATGAGCAGAAAGTCGCACTTTGGCATTCGTCGAGATATTTTTGATAGAGAGCCAGCGTGCTCGCCACCCACGAGGTAGCTGAATCAGTTTCTGATTGTATCAGCTGGCCGAGAGCTGCGCTTTTAGTCTGTGCAGCACATTCCTGGCGCTCCTTACGATATAGGTAAGGATATAAACGCAAATCTCCATAGAACCAGGAGATTTAATGGTTAAAATGATAGGATATGTTCAAATATGCACTACAAGTGTCTGTCAGGAATTCAAGTAGAGATCACCACATTAAAAATATTATATTTTACACAACCTGACCATTCTCAGTATCTATTATCTGTTTTAAATTAGCATAAAACAGGTCTTGATTAGCACTATTGTTTATCCATGACAGTATTCAAATACAGAAGTCAATTTATAAGCCTATTAGCTCCTATGATTTTTTTAAATTCTTCTTATATATCCAAGTGTGGCTATACTAGATTCCATGCTTGCCCAGACACTTAAAGTCAGTCAAGTCCCAAATACCTTTAGAGAAGGCCTAATTTTCCCAGAAAAGGCTTGTCGGGGCAACCATACCGTTTCAGAAAAAAACCTTAATATCCCATTGAGGATGAATGGCACCTGTACTGACCACAATGTGGTCAAAGTTAAATGAGCATAGAGGTACCCCGCTCATCCCCTTTAATATATAAGCAGTGTCCTGTAGAGCACACAGCTACAAGCAGTGGGAGTTTCACAGTTGGATCTAAGAGCCAACATAACTTGCTTTGGTTTGGGTATCAATCAGAGTTAGGGCTAAAATACATTCTTTTTACGAGGCCACGCAACCCCACTCAGTCCAGCTATGAGAACTCTTCGAAATGGTAACTAGTCTGTTTCTGCCTACGTGAGCAAATTACCGGTGGAGAGACATAGACATTTGGCCGAGGACCGTGCTGGACTGATGGTGACTGTGCCACCTGTCCCCCCCCCACCCCCCACCCCCGCTGCTGGGTTGCCAGGTTAGGCCAGGCCAGACCTGCCCACCATCTGGGTCTCATTTCAGCTGCATGGCAGCGGCCCCGTCGACAGAAGAGGTGAATTCTTCTCAGGTATGATGTCATGGACGCCCGTAACATAAGCCGCTTATAGCTGCCTTCACTCCTCTGCTCTCACCTCCCGTGTCCTCTCCTTTCTGTTTATCTCTGACTCATCTCCGAGAGCCTGAGTCCTCCGTAGCCATTGTCTGGTGCGCAGGCTGACAAATATTTGTGGGTTTTTTTTTTAGTCTTTTTTTCCCCCTCTCCCTGACACATACATGAATTTGGGCAACAACAGCCAGAGGATAGGGCTATTTCTGGATTCGGTTTTGCTTTCTTGACTTCTGTTTTGATGGATTCTACGTCTAAAAAGATCAGCCCAAGCATGGAACTGTAATGAAAACAGGCTGAGTTTGCAAATGATTAGACGGACCTTGCATACACAAGGAAACTCGGTTCAATCCGCTTGATAGTAGGTGAAGCACCCTCCAGAAAAGCACTGAGAGACTTCTCCTTTGCAGATAACTAAAAACAAAGCTACCCCTGACAACATCCAGTAGTGAATATGTAAAAGAATATCTGAGAAAAAGCACAAAAAAAACAAAAGGTTAATGTGAGCCTCACTCCTGTTGGGCTTTTGTTTCCATCCCCATTTATGGTGATGCAGGTAACAGAAGTATTGTGCTAAAAGCAATGGAAGTGGAAAGCAATCAAACATAGGACCTAAAGATTTCAGGCAAAGATTATACATTAATTGAAAACAGGTGTCGCTCAGGTTTCAAAACTCTTGAGGAACGTCTCTGGAAATACGGCAGCATGGAAAGACCAACATCACAGAGTCCCACGAGGAGATAGATGAGTCTCAGTCACTCAGAACGCGTCGGCACCGGGGAGGACCTTTCAGATACTCTGGCCAATAAGGCGGGAGAAAAATGGCTTTGGTCGGTAGTGACCCTGACGCGAAAAAACTCCCAATGATCCGCTCAGTTTCAATCAGCGAAATCTGATGGGAAGCAGACTCCTATGTAGTTTTCCCCTGAACGAGAAAGAAATATCTAACTTTATCAGCCAAGCCTGTATGACAACCTACTCTGGAGACCAGGGAGCTTAACAAGCTGCTAGAAAGAGAGAGAGAGAAAAAATTTATATAATTGAAAAGGTTAGCCCATAAATCTACTTTACCTATCATGCTTTGTTCTGCTTCTGCTTTTACAAACAAATGAAACAGTGCTCTAAACTTTCTTATCTAAAGGTAAAGTAATCTGTTGGACTGTCTTTATGACATAGATATTTTTATGTTTTTTAAAATTGGTTATGAATAGGTTTGTCCTGTCTCATTATGCAACAGCCCTCTTTTTTTTCTTAAAAAAAAAATTATATATAGCCAAAGTGTTCCTTTAGTATGATTTAGTAAATAAACCTCCTGCACTAAATGTGTCCCAAAATCTGCATGAAGTTAACGTTGTTCAGTTCATTTCAGTTTTGTTTGTTAATGGAGGCTAGAATTGATTTTAAATGGTCACATTTAAACCCTTATACTTAAATGAAAAGCATATTTTCATCGGGCACCGAATCAGCAAATAATATTAAATTAGCTCCTTTTTTCACAAAGACTACACAGATGCTGCTACACAGATGACAAGCTTTGAACTGAGAAAAAAAGATATATTTAAAAAAGACATAAACTCAGTGGATAAAATGAAAACAAGCACCTACATGAGCTGGATGGGGCTTTATTTCTTTTGGGGACTATTCTTGGTGGCTTCTCTTTGCATCTGTCATCCTCCAGGAAGACATATTGGGTTGGACAGTAGCAAACCAAAGTTAAAGATGTTTTTTTTTTAAATGGTAGCAATTTACTGGCCCTGTTGTGGGCCTGAAATACTGTTCTCTGTAAGTCCCTCTGAAGTACTTTGGCCCTGAACTTAAAACATGACAACCAGGGATTTCCTAAAACAGAACCAATATGCCTAAACATACATATCCTTGTAGATAAGACTTAAAAAAAAAAATCTGTTCTTATTAAGACTCGGTGGTGCGCATGCCCCGTGCTGTCCACAGACCAACGCTGCCGTTCCAACAAAACCTCTGGTAACCCTGTCATGATTACAAACGGAGAACAATGCTCCCAGAACTGGCTCTCACTCTGTCGCCTCCAGTCCTTCTTGCAACATAAGCCCGGGTGACTTTGGTATGAGGTTTCTCCGTATACAGCCAGACCGTAAAACAAAGAAAGGCGTTTGAGGGAACCTTAACAAAACAACACAAGAAAAAAAAAAAAAAACTATTTTGCAGTCCGCTGTCCTCTGGGTAGGGGTTGCATGTCTTGGGTTTTGTTTCGCTCAGCTCATAATTCAAGACAGACGGGATGTTTGGAGCTGGGAAGGTTTCACAGGAAGGCTTTTAAAAGCAGGCAGAACAAGGATTTTCAGCTAAGTAGCTTTGGAGCGGGTGTCTCCCTGAACGCACCCATCTT